GCACACACACACACAGAGAGAGAGAGAGAGATACCAATGGGCTGTTGGCATGCGGGGTAACGCCCTTACCGCATTGGTGACAAGTGCCCTTGCAGCTCGGACACGGTTGTGCATCCCTCCAAAACGGGACCCGGCAAAATGCAAAAGCTAAATCTGTTCAGGCCTGCTGCAGTGTCTTTTCCAGGTCTTCGGCTGGCTGCAAGGTGAACTTCAATATCAAGGCCTGCGCATCTCCCGCGGCACTATGACAAATGATGTGCACCGTGTGACTACAGACCGTATGAGCTATCTGATAAGAGAAATGCTCAAACTAGCTTTCCTCTTGTCGTATGATTGACGGGTTGATGGCACAAACTAGGAGAAAGAAGTCGCCCAGCGCAAATCACGATTTACTCCGAGGGAGGCATCAAGCAAACCCTCACTAAGCTGCACTTTGCAACCAAAATTGATGCACTTTGGCATCATCAAGGCCTGGCCCTTTGGCATGACTTCGTCATGCGAAAGGATTAAATGAAGATCCGAACATAGGTGAAGAGGATGCATCTTCAAAGGCTGCCTTGTTGCGGATGTAGTAGTAAACAGCTAGCCTCAGCTGCAACACTCCGCGCGAATGAGAAATGGCACAAGTTCAAGACACATTGTGACACAATCAGTCGTGGCAACATGCAGTGCACCCAATTTAGACAGGATGCTCGTCTCGTCTGGGTTTGAATATTAGCAGCAGCCCAAACCCCGGCTGCGGATATGAGAGGATTGGCATGTGGGAGAGATGCTGTGAGCCGGGCAGCGACACCTCATAAAACAAACTGGCCCAGTTGGACACTAGGCCATGACTCGTCGTGATGGACTCCCAGCATCCCGGCACAGCGTCTTGCCCGCCTCACTGCTCAAACCGAGAAACACAGGGTGATACTGTGGATGGACGAAACCCTGCACCACCTAAGAAACCCTGGAGTGCTGATTCCCCTCTAAATACAAAAAGCAGTGGTCTCCCATGGTTTCAAAGTGGTGCAGGATTTCGTCCATCCACAGTATCGCCAAAAAAATGGGGCCAAAAAAAAGGAAACCGAAAGCTCAAAGCGTCGATTCGCGATTCAAGATTTGCCAGGCCGCGGAAACGGAAGGGCTCGGAGATGGACTTTCGCACGCCGTCCGGCTCCGCGAAGTCGCCGGGGGCGAGGTGGACTCTATGAACATAGTTCCCCGCATTGGCGTCGTCGGCCCCCAGTCCCCGGTTCCGAAGATTGATCGACATGTACCCGTAGCCGAACCGTGATTTCGTCAACAGGTGTGATGTCAAGATGTCGTTGGTGGAGAGGCTCGCATCTTGGGACTTGAGACTTGCAAGCCAGTCCTGATCGACATATCGCACTTCTGGTTTTGGGGGATGCCAGAGACAGAAGCTTCGCAGCAGGCCCAGCATCGTTGGACAGGTCGTGAGCCAGTTCTTAGCCACATGGATGCCTCTCCATGTAAACTCCCGGAAGCTTCCTTTGCTTTGGGTTTGCCTCCACAACCAACTCAAAGGGGGGTCCCAAAAAGTGCAGTCTAACTGGTTTGGTAGGGTGAGTTCCCCATATCCCTCCCAAGCAGACCATAGACCACCGGAAATTCTGCCTGAGCCCATGCAAGAATGCAGTGACATGTTGGCACGTGGCCAGTTTGCAATATGAATTGCTTCCTCAACTAAGGGCAGTGCAAACTGCGATTCACCAATGCACTGTTCAGCCAGGCAGGCAAATCCAGACTGACGCAGTGGGTTCATCTGTAGAATAGATGCCTCAGGAATGCCGTGCTTGGCTTCGCCCTGCCACATCGGATTTTCTTCATTCCAAGCTTCATTTGGCTCAAGCATGCTGTAGAGCTTGTAAAAAGTGTATCCATCTCCTTGGCAAGGTAGACAGAGGCAACTAACGTCCGCACAGACGGGCAACTAGATTCATGCGCACCATGCAGGCAGGCGGCCAATGGTGTGGTTGAGGGAAACTACCAAGAGGAAATGGTCTGGGTTGGCCGGGATGACGGCCACTCGGAAGAGTTGCTCGTTCTGGTTCAGTGCCAAGAGCCCACACTTCAATGTGGCCTCTGACTCCAGTACATGCTGAGACAGGTCATGGAAGTCTGCTCCGGAACTCATTGTAAAAGAAGAGCTGCATTCCTAAGCTGCTCGAGCTGCTCGATATCGCTGGATTCAGCGTGCTGGCAGCATGCTAATGCCGAGCTTCCATGAAGTGATTGCCCGGACTAGGAGGAACGGCGAGAAATGGACCTCGCTCTTTCCACGGTCCGAGGAATGAGCTGTGGTTCACTCTGAGAGCTGGACGCCCGCAAGATTTCCGGAGCCGCCCGCCAAGCCAAGGATTTGCCTCCACAATCTGACGTACCTTTGGCAAAGCACTCTGTACAAAACTTCTCTTGGCTTGCCCGCCAACCCCGACTGGCACTGACAGGGAGCACCACGAGAAACCCCAAACAAATCAAGCTTGACCACGGTTGGATGTTGGCAAATGTTCCAGGAACCCTGACAACAAACGCAACGAGCCCTTCTCGCCCATGCCGTCGCTGACCAAGTCATACGTAACAAAGACATCCACATCAACTCGACAAATCATGGCATTCTACTCAATTTGTATTTGGGGGGTGATGGTCCTTTGCTACAAAGGCCCTCTTGAGCCGTTAGTGCTTCTGTCAATGTGACTTGAAGCAAACACCTCAAGACGTGACGTCAAGCCATCGGGTCAAGGCACTCGGCCCTTCAAGAAGTCCAAGGGGATCTCTTTGGCGCGATACAGCGTGGCCGTGCATATCGGAGGCACCAGCAGCAGGTTGAAGGGGCTGGCCTCAACCATCTGGCAATTGCACCCATCTAACTGGTGGCTTCTCTTTCAAAGGGGTGCAAACAGGGTAATTTTCGCGTGCAACCTGTTACAAAACGAGCTTTGGTTCCAACGCAGGAATCTATTGGTGGACTGACCACGACCGAGCAAAATTTGTGTGTTCCGGCCGCAAGCTGCGCACCTCCATGTCATAGTCCAGATCAAGTTGGTCCCAATCATCCTCGATCGAGGCTCCACAGGGCCACGGGACTTGCAGAAAGCAGCCATCGAGGCACATGGCCAACAGCTGCAGCAATATGCAATGATCGATATGCAACTGTTGCGTAGCCCGTTTTGCCGTGCTCTTCTTACAAGTCTTGTGTTCATGCTCTCAGATACAGTCTGATATTGTGCTCTGAATATGCCCCTACATGATATCTCCACTGGACTTGTATGCAAGGCATCAAACCTACCATCGTTTGCTCTGCCAATGCCTGCGTGGAAGCGCACGTACCGCGCCCAACACGCAAATTTGGGGATCGAGCCAATCGGGCCTATCAGACCCGCGCCCCTTGGAACCATCCCAAGGATCATGCAGTTGTCGGGCAAACATCTCGGCGATACACTGCGACACCTGTAGAGGCTTGAAAGAATGCTGTTGGTACTTGGCTCGAAAAACCGCACAAGCATGGCAGCAGGAAAAAGCTCATGCAAGCCGAGGTCAAAAATTGCCCCCCTCCCAATATATTATGTTTTTGGTAGAGCTTCCTTGACTTCCCTTGAGATTGACCCAAAAGATCCCAAAACATGGTGCTGCGAGCCAAAGTGGAGAATCGAGGAAAACCCTGACTTCGGCGAACCCACTCTGTGACTCGAGCGCCTCCTCCGAGCAGCCCAGGGAGAGCTGAAAGCCAAGGCCTCACAAGGCCACAACCAACCAGTTTTTTCCACCCAAACAAGGCAAAACCCTGTCACTGGGTTTTGTCCGTCCATAGTGTGGGCCCTCTTTGGGGCACTATGGAATGGCCGGCCCATACCACTGCTGAAAGATTGACATTCCAGCTATGAACGCTCATGCAACGGTAGGGAACTCATGTCCACCAACCATGTTTGCGGCACCCTCACCCCCAACTGTAAATCATGAGGGCCCCCTCCCTCCCTTATTTTCCGTTCTTCCACCCACGTGCTGGGAAATTGGTACTCTTATGGAGCTCCATCCGTTGCAACCTGTAGCCATTCCATGACGGCGGCTGTGCGGCGGCCTGCGCGCCACTGGTCTCCCGGCCAGTTCCGCCCTGTCGCCACGATGACCACATCCTAAATGCCCAGCGACCGGCGACCAACACTCGGCTGGGGGTCAAAAATGCGTACCCAAAATGGGTTGCCCTGATAAATGGAACCAAAGACTAAAACCTGCGGTCCCCTGGTGGGTTGATTTTGACCCATACCCACTTGACCTAAACCAAAGGAATGCCAAATGGACTGGAATCCTGTATAGACCACTCAGCCAACCCTACGTCATCCGCATATAAATTCAAAAGGAAGTCAGGTTATGCGCCTTTTGGCGGGTGCGAAAACATGGCGCTTTCGAGCAAGAAACCATTTGCTATGCTCGCGTTGCGCAAGGAGTACAGCTGATGGCAAGCGAGTGACCACAAATCGAACTCCTCTCTCTCTCTCACACGCGCTTGTAGCTCTGTTACTACGCACAAGACCTGCAAGCACAAGCACGGCAAGCTCACCGACTCTTAAACCAGCCTAAATCAACCCAAACCAAACCTCGCACCATCAAACAAACCCAAAACCAACCCTAAATAACCCCCCACACCAACCCCTAACCCGCCCCGACCGACTCTAAACCAACCATCAACGAGCCTGAAACCACCCTTAGAACAACTCTTGATGAGCCCAACTATTTCCAAACAAGCCCCAAACACGCCCTAAACAAACGACCTTCAAGCTTCAACTAAGCATGAACTAAGCCGCAAGATCAACTCCACCCCTCACTATGCCCCAGTCACACTGAAATACTGGCACATACATTTCCCATGCCACCGCCACTAAACATACCCAACATGCCCGAAACGTGCTCGACACCGTAGAATACAGCCAAACTCAACACCCATCACATCCAGCGCCCAGCACGTTATGCCAGGAAAAGATTCTACAGTGTGCAGTTCGCAGGTTATCCTCTGCCTGCAGACCCAACTGTTGCGACCCCTCTGGTTTGCTTTTCCTGACTCCCCTCAACCGTCCAGGGTCCGAATCCCATTTTGAGAAACGTGAAGGCTTCGTGTCGGCCACTCAGGCCGCAGCATGGTCCGCCAGCAGCGCCTCCGAAGAGGCAACCGAACCCATTGACCTTTGGGACCAACATGGTTCGGCGGCAGTGGGGCCTCACAACCCTCCTATGAAACCCGCGTTTTTGAAGCCCCGAACATATTCCAACCGATTTGCTCGTTGGATCGGCCTCAGGCTCCTCGATGTTGCGGTTCATGTGCAGAGCGCCAATGCCACAGGCAGCGTACTTCTCGAACTCCTCTTTGGCTGCTTGAATACCCCTCTTCCTAGAGGGCACTTGGAGGTCGGGAAAAAGACACCAGAGGCACCCTTCTTCGCGCGAGAGGATGGCAGCAAAGGGAAGGGGGTGACTGCTTACGCTGCAAGTGAAACTCAGATCGGTGGGCCTGAGTTGCCCCCGATTTTTCTCTGCTCACGCGGTAGTCTTGCAGCAAGCACATCTCTTGCCTGCCCAAAACAGTGAGCCGATTTTGACTCTCCTGCTCCGGAGTATCCCTACGTGTGCAGGTTAGCACACAGCATTCGACACCCTATCAATCCACGGACTAACATTCTGAAAGCCAAACAATGCCTCATGTTTCTGCGGAAAGCAACCGCGTGTGTTTCGGCGTTGGCCGGTGATGCGTCCGTGAATCGATTCAATTGAGATTAGCCAAACAAGAAATTTGTTTCAGGCAAAATTGCTGGATGGCACGTGGCAAAGGGCAGATCCACTGACCTTGAACGGGGGGGGGTACGACTGCATGGTACGCAACGTCGACTCAGAGAAGACACCTCCGTGCCACGTCCAACAAGCTCCAAAGTCCCACAAGCAATTTATCGGGCAGCAGAATGTTCGGAAAAACGGCTGCTGCCCGATAGCGCCCAGCACCGATAATCGATGGCCGGAGCCTTATAGTTCCAAACGCAAGAGTTCACACAATCTAGAAGGTTACACAGTCAACATGCAACGGGGGCAGAGGCGCGACATAGCCGTGGAAGTAAAGCACATGAGGTCCTGCTCTTTTGGATGAATAATGGGGCCGAGAACTTTGTGGATTCTCTGCTACTGCCAAGGCTATGTGGAAGATCGCGCCGACAGGAAGACCATACACACAGTTGCATGTGTAGCCGGCAGGGGACTGGGTGCATGTAAGCGCTCTGTTCCACGCAGGTCATGAATTCATCATTTCTGCGCAGGTTAATTCGAACCTCTCTCTGCATGGCCTCAGGCCGCAATTGAACGTGGCGCGCCGGAAACTCCGGAAACCAAGGCACTCAAACCTTCTAGGCACGATGTCATCTGTGACACGATCTTTTGGTGGTTCTGTGCGAACTGAGCCAGATTTCTCCTCGACTGGTCTTCCATCGATCTTCGCGATGTCCTGCGAGGTGGTAGGAGTGAGTCAGACTCACGGACCACGTAGAACACCTCAACGGTTTCCTGGAATTTGACCTCAGCTCCATGTTTCACGCTTCGCTGGCTCTTCGCTCCGACTGAACAAGCACGCCCAAACTTTGCGCCGTGCACTGGGCGCATGCTTCGCAACTGCGCTGGTGTCGCAGCAAATCACCTGCGTGCGTGCCACCCCATGGCCTCTCGCCTGTTTGGCGCATCCAATTTCCCGCCTCCGGCTCATCCACTCCGTGCCTTAAGGCGTCAGCAGCGCGCTTCATCAGTGGCGCACTGGCCTTAGCTCTCACGAGCTGATCAATCGAACAAAATGGCAACTTGTATGCAGCTAGGGTCCAGTCAGCAGCTCCGGAGAGTGTCCATGGATCGAGTACACAAGAAAATGAGGAACTGACAAGGCGTGGGATATGGAGTGGGGCTGGTCGCTTTGGTATCCGTCAGGGGCAACTGGCCAGTAAGAGCAAGTGTTATATTCCAAGCAGCGGAGCGTCGCATCATCTTGTCACACTTTGCTGTTGCCAGCCGATTCTGGGGTTCCTGCAAGTCCTGCAAATCCCATTTTCATCTGCGAGCAACGATCTGTGAAATCTCTGCGTCCCCCACCCCTCCCAAGCGGACAGTGGAAGTGCTGAGCAAAATGACTAAGATGAGGCGTGAAACGAGCTCCTTGACCTCGCACCGAAGCCGGCGCCGAGATGGGGAGTCGCACCAGGAGTCGCAGGTCCTCGCGATCCGCGCGATGCGAGAGCTGGGCCGTTCTGCGAGCCACGTGAGCCAAGCCGAGTGTCCTCGAGCGGCTGAGACATGGCTCAGAGAGGGCCAGCAAGGCCACCATTGTGAGAGGTATGCTTGCTACCACGGCTGCAAAGCAGAACGATAGATGTCAACAAGTGGCTTGCAACACGAGTGTGCATGAAGGTGCTTCTTGCAGCCGGGCTGAGTGCAAACAGCCGCGGGTGCAAACATCGTGATTCGATGATCATGTCATGAATGGATCAGTCAACAGCAACCATGCCAAGTCAACGGACTGTCCTCTCGCAAAGTGAGCTCAATCAGGTTGATTGAACAGGTCGGCGAGAAGCCTCAGGCTATTTCGGGCGCTCCATCGCAGCTTGGTGCCGCTGAGGCAGCGGCAGTGACGGGCGAACAACTCGTGGCTTGAAAGCAGTCTGCTGTTCAATACATCCTACACCATGTTCCACAAGTCGCAAGTGTTTGTCTTTCTCGCTCTCTCTCACTCTCTCTGTGTCTCTCTCGTTTTCTGTCTTCGCAATACAAATATTCCTGTCCTGGGAGGAATTGGACATTGCCAGGATGATGCGACCTGAGTGGAAATGCAGACGTGGCCAGATCTATGAGAATTGACTTTCAGATTTCTGTGACCGGAGACAGAGTGCAGCCATGTCGCGGGAGCCCCATCCTCTATCGTCAGCACGTCGCTCGAAGACCTGACCAGTGCCATGTCAATGTGTGGCAACACACAATCACACAAATCAGGAAAAAAGGAGCAGAAATACAGAAATGCCAAGCGTGTGCCAAGAGACATTGATGAGCGGCGCTTGTGGTTGACGAGTGATGCGGTAGCCAGAAGAGGTGTAGAAAAATCGAGCATGTGCGCGGGCCAGGAGCACAGCAACCCACAGTCCCACCGGCCCCGCCCCAATGATTGCAATGCGTGCAGGCGCTGGCGTCGGAAGGCTTCCAGACAAAACCTTCTTCGGCGACTGGGGGCCTGGAGGGCCTGGGGGGCCTGGGGGGCCTGGGGGGCTCGGGCCCAGGTCTGACGGGCAAGGCGCTGGCTCCCGCTCGCGCTTCTCACCGAGATCGGACGAGCTCAGCTTTGGCCGAAGCACCGCCTGACTCCAACTGCGCACCTCCCGGGCGCGCGACCGAGCAACTGGCCGGCATCGGGCCCAGACATTGCAGCCTGTGACTGTCACCTGTAGGATCGGGCAGGAGCCTGACCGGGAGACCTGCCGTTCCGCATGCATTCACCCGGCTTCTGCAGCTGGTGGACCGGCAGCTTGAGAACCATCACAGGAGTGTGCCAGAGTTGATGTGCATCTCGCAAGTATGATTCACTGTGTCTGCTCTTTAATCATATAGTCAGGACGTCGTCTTTCTGGGTGCTGGATGGCATACGGCCAGTTGCTGTGTTGCCCGGTCTATGCTACAAACAAACCCTCCAGAGCCAGCGAAGCAGCTCGGGCCGAAGGTCATGGACCGTTTGAGGGATGTGGCCCATGCGAGATGTCTGGTTCCAAAAACCGCCAGCGCCTCAGTGGATGTGGTCCTGCAGTCGGATGCGCGATTCCAGATCTAGCAGCACAGCTCAACATATCTTGTCAGGCATCCCGGAAGCTGCACATATTCTCTTGAGACAAACACACTTCCAGAACAGAACCGCCTTTTTCTGCGCGCTGCAACTTCCCCAAGTTGCTTCAGTCCCCAAAGCATTCTCACAGGTCCCATACGAGATGCCTACTGCCGACACTCAGCAAAAGTGATCCCTGCTGCCCCAGCAGGATGGCTTATTGCTGCCTTGGATCCATCTACGCCATCTACAAGCAAGAATCGGCAAGTTGCTGCTTGCGTCTCCCAACTATGTTCCACAGCGTCAGAGCCCAAAGAATCTGCACTTAGCACTTGGGCTGCCGCTCAGTGCCAAAAGACTTAGCCTCATTTCTTGCACATTTGCCAAGAATGTGCGCACACACACACACACACACACGCAAAAGGCAGCCGTGCCTTCTTGCCTCGCTTTGCACTTGCCTTGGCTTTGGCTTTGCCCACCTGGCGCAAAACGCTCAAGAACGCTGAGGGTAAAGTTGTGTCCTCCGAGATTGCCTTGATCAAGGCCGAGGTTTGGGTCTCCTCGTCCTCCGTGTCCTCCCCATTTGCCTCACGCATTGAAACAGGTAGCTGAAAGACCTGGCAAGTGCCTGGATGTGTGGGTCAACACTGTTGGCTTGATCGTGGTGTATCGTGTTCGCAGCAGACTGCCACCACAAGTACCAAATAAAAACTTCGTTTTGGCCAGCGAGTGATGTGATAGCTTCAAGGGTAACTGGTGCTTGGCTTTGACAGTGCAGCTACACGCCCAGTGGAGTACCAAAAACATCAGCATCCTCATCCTTGCTGTCGTGATGCCCACATGAAACAGCAATCTACATCATTTGCATTCGATTCACAAATCTGCATCCGCATCAGCTGCGGCTGCTGCTAACTCAGCTGCAGCGGCTGCTGCTGCTGCTGCGGCGGCTGCTGCTGCTGCGGCTGCGCTGCCGCCGTGGCTGCTGCCGCCAAAAAGAAGCGTTGTGCAGCAAAGAGCGATAAGTTCCTTTGACTTTGCCACCACCGTTGAACAGTCTTTCGAGGGAGGCGCTACTTTGGCCGAGGTGCTTCAGCTTCAGCTTCAGCCTCGCCCTCCTCACCGTGCTGAATACCTCAAATGGCACATCTGAATCTTATACGGCTTCCATCGCCAAGGACTAGACCACTGTCCTCTGATGGCCGCTTTCCTGGCTTCTCTGAAGCTTCCGTGGTTGACACATGTAACACTGCCAGTCTGGGGCGTGAACGTTTCGAGGGAAGTACAACCTGGCCGTCACAGCGTGTAGTTGAATCATTCGGAGGGGCTTGCCACGCTGATTTTAGACTTGGAGACGTTGAATGTGGGCAGCCTAAACTTCATCCATTCCTTTGGTGACATGGCAGAAAAAGCCACAGCAGTCTTGTCGCGACAAGTTGCAGCCAAGGATGATTAAATGACTCTCCCCGTGGCTCTCATTCTATGGCTCTAGCCCTTCAGCATGCACAATGCGGCGAAGTCCCCCCCCCCGCGCCAGTCAAGCTGTCCAGATTCGCTCTTTCGTCCCTCGACGCTTTGCAGTTTGAGCAGTTTGAGCTCTAGACTCACGGCATGGAAACCGGGCCCCCTTGAAACGGGGAGCCAATGAAATAGATGCGTCTCAAAAAGGAGAAGTGAAACCCTCCTTGTAGCTCGGAGAGAAGCTAGGAAACAAATTCAACACAAGGGTGATGATCAACCATGTGGCTTTTGAGACACACCTGGGCATCCAGCAATGCTCCAAAGCATTGCCATCCCATCGCATCTCCCAGGGGCGAGCATGCCACGGCCGAGTGGTCAGACACTCCTCTCGCCCGACGTTCAAAGACTTGCGAAAAACAATTGGTAACCCATCACACCGCCCAAACATGGTAAAAGCGATGTCTGGAGCTGGCAGGAGGGCAGAACTCCAGAATTCACTCCCAGGTGAATTCTGAAGCCAGAATCTGAATAGATTTTCTATTGGACTCTAACTGAGAAATTGCCTTGCACCTCATCGATGAGCTCCATCTAGCCATGCGCCTGGCAAAGAAGGAAGTCCTCCTTGTGAAATATGGTTGTCATTTAGCGCCCCCTCTTTCCCCTCGCGGTCTCTCAGTCTCTCTCTCTCTCTCTCGCTCTCTCTTGCTCTCTTTCTCTCTCTCCCTGGCTCTCCGTCTCTCTCTCTCTCCCCGTCTCTCTCTCTCCCTCCCCTTCTGCGCTTTAGGGGAAGTTTCTCGCTCTCTCTCTCTCTCTCTCTCTCTCTCTCTCTCTCTCTCTCTCTCTCTCTCTCTCTCTCTCTCTCTCTCTCTCTCTCTCTCTCCGCTACATGGTTACCCTCACCTCACAAACACCTTGAGACAGGAGGCCTTAAATTGGCCATCTCTCGGCTTATAGGGACAACTGGACTTGTGGAATCAAGTGTAGTTCCCGTCCCCCGGCTTTCCGATTTGTTTTTGACTTGTGTTGTGAAACGTCGTGTTTTTCTTTCACGAACTCATCGTGGAATTGTCGTGGGCCTACTTTTGTGAAAGCCAGTTTGACGTGGTAAACGAGTGAGCGGTTGAGCACACTTTGGCAGCTTCAATCACAGCTGTTCAGTACAAGTGTACCACGCTAAGGAGGCTGCGCGGCTCCAGCAGGAACATTGCACTTGCTGCAGCTGCAGCATCGCAACTTTGCCGTGCGAGCGTAGTCTGCAAAGCAATCGTCGGCCACTCCAGTTGGAATATCGCAACTTGTTCGCTGCAAACGTTGAAAACCGCATGTGAGAATCGAACCTGGCAGCAAGCACCAAACATTGCCAGAAATGTGAACGATGTGATTCAAAAGCATCAAGACACAATGTGGGAGCCAAGCCGCACGTGTCCGAATAATGCCCAAAATGCGCAACCTTGACCAAAGTCTTATATAAAACGTTTGCCAAAATGCGAGGTCCACTGCCACGGCTTGTCTCCCACCTTTTCTCACCAGTTGTCTCCCCATTTGTCTCCCTGCCACGTCTTCTTGCTTGTCTCCCTGCTTGCGCTTGACAAAGTCACCATGTCTCCCCACTTGTCTCCGCCCTGCTTGCATTTGACCTTGTGACGGCTTGTCTCCCCGCGTGTCTCCCCACGTGTCTCCCCACGTGTCTCCCAACTTGTCTCGCCACTTGTCTCCCCGCTTGTCTCCCCGCTTGTCTCCCTGCTTGTCTCCCTGCTTTAAACATATCGTGCAATCAAGCCCTGGCTGCCCGCGCTCTTGCATAATGACACTTGATCAATCTTTCCAGGCGCACGGTTAAACTTCTGGTTGCACCTGGCTGCGTGACTGCGTGACTGCGTGGCTTGCAACTTTGCCCTCTGCGATTCTGCTCTTAAACATCCAGCAAGGGCTCTTCACGTATCGGACAATTCTTCGCAACTTTGGTCCCAGAAACTTGGCGTCCGCGCACGCACACAAATCAGCAAGCAACCTGCATGCAACACCCTTGTCTTGCACAACTTTAGGTGTTGCCCGTGCAATGCCGGAAGTGCTGGTTGAACGGAACGAACGTCTTGCGTCAGAGGCGAAGCTACAAAGCGACAAAGATGAACATGCTCAAAGACGAAACCATCGTGTCATGGCTTCTCATCCTCCTGTTTGAAACTTGACGCGGCAGATTGGGCGATTCGCAGCCCAACTGTTTGGCGCCAGCATTTTGCGGATTTGACAACTGGCATGCTGTCTGATTTTCGGATGCGTTGGTTGAGTCACATGGAAGCAAAGCAACCTACCACAAACACCGTGAACAACTTGCAGCGCTTGCGCTTTTTGATTTGCATGACACTTAATTGCGCTTTTGGTGTTGCAGAACATACCAACCTGCCACTAGACTATACGACAACAGTTGGTTTGCCCAGTTGGTTGTTCCTCGTTCTTTGCACCCTGTTCATGTGAGGCAATGCCTTGCTCTTGACAGGGCAGCCCGATTTGGCTGACATGTTCTCCGGTTGTTGGCAATGTGTGGTTCAATCGAACCGTGCTGTTTGGGTCAAAGCTAGTTCGTTCTTTTGCAGCCCTGGATTTCCCAGATTGAAAGCAAGCTCATTGAGTGGACCCGTGTGCCAAATTGAAATATGCACGCTCAAAGCAACCCTGGTGAACACCTGGCCAAGTGCCAGGTCAATGACATCACTGCTTTTGCGAGCTTGCATTTGCCCGCATCGACCAACAACGTATTAATGCCACTAAACCCTGACAGGCGACCCGAGATTTGAACGGCTTTGCAGAACGGAGTAACACAATGCAAGCGTCTTGCCAGCTCTTCGAGTACTGCATGCCATGACTCTGTGTACGAACAAGGAAACACCAATCAGACCGCACCTCCCAAAAACATGACATGAACATGTTCATTTTCGGACCAACGACCAGCTCGCGGGCATGAGTCACGATCGAAATATTCGATTCCCACAATGGACAAAGCCCGGAGTAAGTTCCCTGGTGGAAATTCAACCCCACTTGGGGCGCCTGATTTTTGACCCCATCGATCTTGGACTGCACCCAGGCTGGATCTCCAAGGTAGACGCCACCTCGGCGAAACAAAGTCACAGGATAGACGAGCCGTCTGTGAAGCAGGCTTCACCTGCTGTTTAAACCTCGTTGAGGTTTGCCCTCAAGGCCGAGCCGATGGTGCGTTAAGCAATTCTGCTCTACGCTGCCACTGAACATGCGGCAGGGTTGAGGGTCATTCCAAGGCACGTTTTTCCCAGCGAAGGGGCTATGGTACCATCTTGAAAATCAGCCTCACAATCACTGGGCGCCGATCTAATCAGCTCGGTATGGCCTGGCAGCGCCACCTTGGCAGCTGAGACTCGGACTGAGCCGTGTAAGGATCATAAATCATAAATGGCAAACATGACAGTTACCACAAACATGGAACCCTGCTGAGGTGTCCTGGAAGAATATGTTCCTTTAAAATAGACCCTCCGGTGGGTTCCATGTTAGCTGTTAGTGGAAACGGGGGTCACGTTCAGACCCCGACCGGCTTCAGCTGATGGTTGAGTCTGTACACCAGCGGTACCTCGATGTCTTTTCACCCACGAGAACCAGTAAATGAGGGTAAGGGCTAGCACACCGGCGCGGCGCACCCCTGTCGGAATGTTGAGGCCAACGATCTTTTCCTGGGCCAAACCGTGTGTCGATACGGGCGTGTCAATTCTTGAGGGTTCCCTCAGTTCCCTTTTTGAGGCTTTAGAAGCCATACCAGGGGGCTTCCCCTATTTTGAGAGCATCTTGCGCAAGTCTCCATACAAAGCACCACATCCAAAAGGTCCTCGGGCAAGTCATCCAAGTACTTCACCAGCGCACGCAAGGAGTTGCCGTGGGCTGCAACAAGAACCTACAGCGCAGTGAGGGTCTTGGACATTGGGACTACAAATGCATCGTCAAGCTTTCTTTCCCATGGGATGTGAAATTGTTGCCACAAATTTGCGCACTTTTTTTTTTTACACTGTCAATGCAGAAACCCAACAATTTGCGCTCCGGAATCCAGACTCAAACACCAAAGGAGCACCAAAAGAGGGGCGTTCCACCAAGCAGGAGAGGCCTGCCTTCTTGCCCTTGCGAAGCTCCGGCGCTATACTTGACCTAAGGCACACACTTTCGCGTGCAGCGAACTGCGCTCGTCCAAGAAACCGGCTTGAAGAATGGCATCACGCGCTCAATGGTCGACGACAATGACCTCGGAAAATTACAGTCGAGCAGGTGACTATTGGCATCAAACATGGACACAGTGGTGCACGATCTGCTAACGGGCCCGCTCTGTCGTCGGCAATTTCTTTGCAGGGACGTTCTTATACTTTGGGTCCTGACAACCAACTGGAATCATATAGGCACGCCGAAGAAGCCCTTATGTCTCCAATGATGAATCATAGACCTCTGACATGAGCCATTGTCAAGATTTCGTGACATCTGATTTCCGTAAGTAGCCCCCTTCTCCAATGGTGCGGTGCCTAGCCAATGTCATCCCTTTACAGTAGATGGCAGGGCAGTTGGCCAAGGCTGCGGCCAGTTTGGGATGGTAGGGACTGTCCTCCTGCGTCCAACTTAGTTTGGCACGCCGAGGCCAAGTGGAAGCTGCGCCTTGATGGGAGGCGGCGGAACTGCAAAAGAGCGCCGCCACTTAGAAACCTGGCAAGCGCGAGTACCAACGAGCTGATCCGAGCGACGGCGAAATGACAACATGCCTTCTCTTCACCAAACTGTTCCGAGGTCTCCTTCTTGTCTAAGCCCTGCAAGTCACCATACCTCCATGATTCAAACTGCTGCCCTTCAAATGTCTCTCAATCTGACATGCTTGTCCGGGGCAAAGGCCAAACACGGCCCCAGTGCTCACTTCTTGAGCGCACATGCGCTCGTTCAGCTTCCAGGACTTGGTCACAGGAATCCAGAGCGCATTCATCTCCTCTAACTCTTCGCATTACAGCGACTCTTGCAAAGGAAAGGGGCACATGAGACCTCTTCGCCTTGCTCGCTCCTCCAGGGCAAGGTTCAAGGTCTTGATGGCTCGCTTCTGGTAGGAGGTAAACGCAACGTCTAAACCTAGAGCACAAAAAATATGACGACACAAGCTGGCAGTGCGGGAGGTCAGTCTAAGATGCTGGCTCAGATTTGCATTGTGCATGAGTTTGCCAGCATGTATGGCCTCCTCTGCACCTTTTTCGGAGACGTCCACATCTACCCAGCCTGAGAAAGTGACACACACACACACACACCCTCAAGATCGTCGGATGTTCTCCTCTGTTTATCTATGTTTACACGCTTACACACGGGCGTTTGTTTCAAAGCCCTGCCTGTAAATCGGTTCTCCAGGTTCCACTCCGACCTAACGAAATTGTTCTCACAGCCCGATGTCACGTGCGGTTTGGCTGAGGCAGCCACTCGCCGTGCCGCAGCAACACCAGCGTGTGGGCGCCATAGTGCTGGAGCGGAAGGAGAGGACCACTGACTCACGCCACAACTTATGACGCAACATCTAGACCTGTTTGCCTGTATAAGATCGACATCGACGAAACTCGATCTCGCCACTTGCGGCGACTTTTACGCCTATGGAATGGCCAGATGGCCGTGGCTCAAAAAAAATCAACGGTGCCAAAATGGCCACCTGGGTAAATGGAACCAAAGACTCAAACCCGCGTAACCCGAGCTCTTTTAATTTTGGGCAACGCCCAGATGGGGCCTACAGCGCAGCTGGAGCACCGGCCTCCAGGTCGGAGGCCCCCACCTCCGTGGCGCCAAGGCCTGAGCGGTTCCGCGGATCTCCCACGGGGCCACGGCCTCGACGCGGCCGGGTGCCGCACGGAGGCCGATGGCCACGGTGACGGCCACGGCCTCGAAGCCGGGCTGTCTTCCAATGGGCTGCGGGGGCTCTTGGCATCTGATTTTGTTGGCATCTGATTGCATGGCAGAGTGTGAAGAGAAATGTTCAGGCATGTCTGAAAACGGTTGCCACTTTATAGGCCGTTCAATGCGGCTCCAAAGCACCTGATGTCTGAATCGCAAGTGAAAAATGATGCATTGAGCCAATATCAAGCTAAACTGCGCCAAAAACAGCTGCATTGCAAATGACTAAGGTCCCAGACCGCAATGAAGACACAGTGCCTTCGAGAACGCTTTTCCTCAGCACAGGCTACTCACCTGAAGATCCTGAAGCTGAACTGCACTGTGCCTCAGCTCAGGGCTGGGACCCGGGACACCGACGGCTCTGGAATTGTGCCACGCCACTCCTTGCACCATGCAACAACAGTCGGCGAATCCGACATTGCGCAACCCACTCCGTCCTCTCGGAGAACCATACCGCAACCTGGTGCCAAGGTGGTCAGAATTTAACACTTCCCATGCCATCTCATGCCTGCAGTATCGGGCCAGGCCCGCACTCTCACTGAGCCGAGCTAAACTACGGCGCGGCGGGTGTCGGGATTCTCAAATAACCCTTGCTGTCTACATGGACTGCATGACTTGGCTCCCAAACTTCTCAACCGAGGAAAAACTTGAGAGGCGGATGAACGAAAGCTCGCCAGCCCAACAATGACATATACGACCCAGGGGTTGCCAATATTATAAGAACACCAACCTTAAATGAACATTAAGAAAGTCATTAAGACCCAAACTTGGACCGAAACATGTGGATTATGGGAACATGGGGGGGGTGGGGAAGACGGGAATCGACCGCTTCGAGCTCAGGCGTTAAATGAGGCACCCCACCCCCTCCCCCCCGGCCCAGCTCTGCCCCCAAAATAAGCGAAAGCTTAAGAGAACTCCCGCTAGCACGGCTAGCTTTGTTCGTAGTTCGCAATCAAACCGGCAAGCTGCCCTGAAACCTGCCCAATTGCCAAACCGGGACCTTGACAGCGTGGCTGCCAGAGTTGAGCTCCCGCGTCAAGGCAGCTTTCACCTCCGCAAGTCTTCGCAACACGAGCGGCAAGCCGCAAACAGCAAACGAGCCTTCGAGTCCACCTGCTTGAACTCATCCTGCGGGGATGCAGGGGTGTCGTTTTTGTTGCTTCTCGTGTTTGTTGCGGTTTTTGATTTTGTGCTGTTTTTGCTTTCCCGGGGCTGCCAAAAGATTTGCAGCTTCTCAGACATCACCCTGAGTTGCGGTAGTTCTTTGTGAATCCCCAATGTCCCTCCCAAACCTTCTGAACGCTTTGATCAAACCTCTTGTTGCGCATGTCCTGACTGCCCACGTGCTGTCGCAACTCTGTGAGGTGCTCCACCAAGTGCTCGCGGCGAAGGCCATAAGCATCCATCAAGCCAACCTCAATGCCAGGCAGCGTTTTTTTGGAGTTAGAGGCGCTCTCTTGAGCTGAGCCTCCAACCGTCTCCTTGATATTGCCTTTCTTCAAGGGTTCCAGCAGGCGCCTCTGGATGACTGTCAAAAGAAGAGCGAATCGCCCGAAACTCTTCACTTGGGAAGGCCACCATCCAAGGGATGGCATGGGCTGATGCTGACAAATGGCCTGTAAAGAAGTTCTCCATATGAAGACGTCATCATTCCCTGCGATCAGTCAGCAGGCACGCCATCAAATCGACATGCCTGAAGTATCTGACATTGTGAGTCAAAAACGGCGGCACCTTGCCTTGCCATCAACTGTTGCTGAAAGGCGCAGGTGCATCTGACAAAGTGCAGCGCAGTCCATGGCCGTGTTTCGGAAAGAAGCGTCGATTTCGCAACACTGATGAGCAGCTTTCTCAACAAACATATTTTCTCGCAGCCCCAATTTACCAACCAATTTGCAAGTCGCACATGTCTTGCTGGCGCTCCAGCTCTGTCGCAGATTGGCCAAACAGATTGCCAGCTGTCAAACGAAAGAACAGGCGCGCCTGCAGCTCCATAACAAGTCGCCTAGCCGCACACACATATCAAGGTTGAAGGATTGCTGCGAGGTTCTGCCGGAGCGTGAAAAGGAGTTTCCAAGCACACAGTTGCACAACAAATAATCTGTCTCCGCACCACATCAGGCACATGTTCTTTCCAGCTAGCATCTGAACTGTGCACTTTTCGAATCTGGTGAACCAATGCTTGGCAGCATGTACACGGGCAACAAGGTTGCCAGCTGGAAATAACAGCTACAAGCCCACAATCACAATAAGAGCTCTCCGTATGGTGCAATCGCCGAACCGCTGTGTGATTTTCTGCATCCACACGACAGTTAGGGCCAGTCAAACGCAAAAGAGTAGTCTCTTGAGCCGTTGCGAAGCCTAGACCGCGAAAGAGTCGACATCTTGCCGAGGGCAGCCGGGAAGCTTGGATAAGCCTGAGGATTGAAGACACCCGACTGTGTCAAACACGGCTCCAAATGGCGAGTTTGCGCAACCATCCATGAGGGGGGGTGCGCGATCTAGTTTGGACATACGCATTGCATATGGGGCCTTGTAATTAGGGACCCGTTGACCTCATTTACATGGGACAATTCGTCCACCATCGATTTGCGAGAGGGTTCCCTCTCACCAATCCAAACCATGTCACTTTGAAACGCCACCTATCAGCTTCTTGAGATGTTTGAGTCTGCGACCAGCACCCCATTGGTGACCCATGCCGGATACGCACAGGAGACCACCTAAGATGCGAATGCATTCATGCGGCAAATCCAGGCACCAAGGTCGAGCCGTAAGGCAGATGCTGCGCAGTGCGGCAAAAGGCCCCATTCCTGGCCGATTTTCGGTTGGATCTGCGCCCCCTTCGGTTTTTTTTGGGGGGGAGGGGCCATCTTGCGGCAGGTCTAAGGCGCCTGTGCCGCTCCGATGCGCTGGTTGAAGATGTCACCTCGCAAATTGTCGATCACAGGATGCTCTCAGCTCCGCGTTTTCTGCCCGCTGCCTTGCCCCGCTGTTGCTCGTGGCTCCCAATCCCGGTGAGATGTTGTGCCGCAATCTACAATACTCTGCCCATGTACGATATCCATGCGGCGCAATCCTTGCCTCTGAAGGTCGTTCAAAACAAAGCGTCCAAATTTAGACCCTGGTGCCACTACTTCTCTTCAAAGGGAGCGCAGGGAACCACAAAAGGGTCATTTTAAAGAAGGCATCTGAGCTGCCTGCCCACTGTCATGAGATCCGCAGAATATGCACATCGGTTCAGCACCTGTAGGTCTGCCTCGCGACATAGGTGTCGGGTTCTTTGGGCCTGTTGGGGAAACCCTATTCCTGGAGAGGTAAGCCAAGGACAAGCCCCTAAGCTACGGGGTTTACGAGATAGCCCTCATGGGCCCTATTGGAAACCTCATGAGGGTTGAGGCTAAGTCGTGCACCCGTTTTCGCTCCATTGACCTCAAGTAGTTCTCCTGAATGAGCCTGAGCCCAAGTTGATGCTTGCAATTGCCGGTGGCACACGGCGAATCCTGCCTGTGGCTTGATGTGCGCAAGATATGTCTGGGTCCCTGACAAGCCCACCATGGAGTAGTCCACAAAAAACCTGAGGCTCGAGAAATCAAGGCAGCCTCGGCATGTTGCTCCTTCGCAAATCCCGCGCATTCTGTACATACTTTGAGTACGAGCGAAGTCCCCCGTTATGCTGTAGAACAAAAAAAGAGCTCCCTCTGTGCACCCGTGCAAATTTTGCCGCTCGTCGAAGCTAGTGCGGGCAGCCTGAGTCTGCAGCAACGGCCAAAGCAAAATGGTTCGAAAGGCATTTCCCACACAATGGCGGCTGCGGCTGCTGCTGCTGCTGCTGCTGCTGCTGCTGCCGTTGAACAACAAGATTATATATATATATATATTATACACAACTTGCACATTTCATCGCGCACTGAGGATGCCGACCTCTGATGCATTGAGTAACTTGCGGCACCTTCATCAGTGCGCTCCCTCGCTCTTTCCTTCCCTCACCACCAAACACGCCGGCACTGCGCTTCGAAGGGACCAAGCATGACCTCTTGGTCTTTGCCTTGCCAGGTGTGACACATGCTGGACATATGCAACCAAACAGCTTTGTCGAGTCAAATCCCGAGCCTCCCAAGCTGCCACCCGACATCTGCAGCTGGTTCAGAACCTGCCACCCATGTTCAATTCGGCACACTTCGCCATGCCTCGAAAGGCAGTCCCAAGCTTTTCGGGGCTGAAAACTAACAGCTCGCCCAAAGCTACCAGCACACCTGCATGGGAATCGTCCTGGACCAATCCCCCGAGCCCTGAGGCCCCTGAGGCCCCTGCCACCCTCATGTCGCAGCCACAGGACTCGGCCAGGGCCTCACGGCCACCGACTCGACCGCTTCGCATTTCGAGGTCCCCGGGGCTCGGCGCGGCCTCCAGCGAGCGGAGGTCCACTTTGAGGCCTTGACGCCTGCACCGAAGCGCGGGCATCGAGCGAGGGACGTCGACTGAACCGAGCGAACCAAACCGAGAGCAAGGCGCTGAGTTGCCAAACAGCTGGAAAATGCTCGAGACAAGTTGCCCAGCACAAAGTCACTGTCACAACGTGTTCCGGAACAGCAACCTTGCTGCCCACATGTTCCTCCTTTCTTCTCACCAGAGCTCTTGTGGCATGCCACCACATCTGCATTTCTGGGGCCATCCCTCCCATTTCGACCAGGCCAGGCCCATGACAGGCCTGGCGATATCGGCACACCTCTGCGCCACTGCGGCCTTGGCAGGCCTCGCCATGGCCCGGAAATCTCCAAGGTCCTGACCTCGATTTGGGGGCCCTCCCAACATAGCACCTGACAGGTCCCTACAGGGAAATGATCTTCCAAGTGCCCTCCCATGCCATGTTAGTGGTAGAGAGGGTACCCAAAATGGAACCCTGGCAAATGGAACCAAGGACTAAAACCTGCGGTTCATCTTCGTGGTGGCTTAGTTTTGAGCAACAGCCATTTGGAACCATGCTTAGAAAGCGACAAATGGGCGACGGCAGCCTCGCCTGCTGAACTTCAAGTCATAGCAGCTTGATGCCAAGTTGCGCACCTTCGTGCGGAAACCAGCGAAAGCTCACTCGAACTTCTGCACCTCGCCTTTCCTCAATACAACGTGTGATCCAATGCCCCAGCCTTCTGGTGCTGCCGATCGTTGCAAATGCATATGATTGGGTTTCGAGTCCTTGGACTCGAAAAAAAAAAAGCAAACGCATACAAGAATAAATTATTACTCAGAACACACTGGAGCTTCCGCGACGGCGGTCAGCCGCACACTACTGAGGCTTGCACGTTTTGATCATTTTGATCAATGCAGCAATGCCACCCCTATCACCAGCGCCTTGCTTGCATCAGCTGCGAAGCTCACATCACACAAATTCAATGCCAAAAATTGGCAACTGGGGCTTGATCCAATACCGTCAACCTCGTCCATAATGATCACTGCTTTCCTCCCGTCAGGATCCCTCACCACCATGTGCCACCCATGCCGCAGTGTGGCGTGTGTTGTGTGCACTGCGTGTAGTGTCTGTGTAATTATTCTGTTCTATTGCATGCATTGTGTGTTTTGCACTGTGGGCATTGTGTGCAGGGCGCGAGCGCGTGAGTGTGCGCACGGCACACGCGGCGACAAGACATGAAATACACAACGGCACACTATGCAAACTACGAACACTACGCAAAGACTACGCAGCGAAACTCAAATCACACAACACACACCCTCACACACACCAGCATCCACAGCCGCGCGCACGTGTGCTCGCACACGCGCACGCGCACACGCACAGGCAAGTGCAACGCACACGCGCACACACACACACACGACCTCGCCCATGGCCGCGACCACCCCCACGCTCACGCCCACGCCCCCCACTCGCACGCGAACGCGCACGCGTCCACGAACGCGCCCACGCCTGCCACCCCCGCGCGCGCACGTGCAGGTGAAGGCGCATTACTCTGAGTCTACTATGGCATGCTCGTTCCGGGCCTCTTGCTTCCAGATCCTCGCAGCAAAAGCATGAGACGTACAGGTCAGAACTTTCCTTGCACTGTCCTGGGAAGGAAATCGCGGAATTTTGGGCAATCCCATCTGCCATGTCCTTGGCACAATCGCGCTTCACTCCAAGAAAGCAAGCAAAAGCTGTCTCTTGCAAGAGCACTCTGCCAGTTTAGGTGTCCTAGAGATTCATGTCCAGCCATTTTGGAGGAGTGCCAAATAAAATGCATAGCTGTTTCATTTCTGACTGCGGCTGAGATGCCTGGATGACCTTCTGGCTCCTGGCATCTGAAGCATTGTACTCCAGGACCTGGCACGGACACACACTCAGAGCCGAGGCCGAGGCCACCCTGGGCTTGGGACATGGCCCTGGTGTCGCATAAGGAACCGGCAGGTGTCACATAACTTCTAAGCAAGCTAAGCCTCACTGCCTGAGTGGATTGACCAAAGAATGTCCGAACTGGAAGCAAAACCTCAAACAAGGTTCAAACTGGAAGTACAACCTGGTGCTACACAACTACTTCCGAGCACCTGGTGCTGAAACCTGTGAGTAAAACCCGGTGATTGAACGGACTTCGCCCCAATCGGATCATAACAAATCCTTCAGCTCCTTCCGTTCCGCGGAAGTTCCTCGCCTCGTAGGCGCCATGGAGTTGGGCCACCAGCCTCGCCGCAGTGGTCTTCCCCACGCCCGGGGGGCCACTGACCTGCGGAAGCCGAGGTGGCGGGGGGGGGGGGGGAGGGGGGGGGGGAGGTAGGTCCCAAAATTTGGTTTCAACAAAAAACCAACCATGGGGCTTTTGTATTTGAAGAACCCGGCAAAATGAGGCTGAGCAATCAAAAGTGCTGTCCGGATCGTCTTTTGGGGGAAGAAAGGGAGGGGGCCTTCAAACCCAATTGGGTGGAATTATGCCATCTACCTTCACCTGACTGTCAGTCTTCTTGAAACCGCTTCCGAGTTCTCGGCAAGGGCGGCTCTCGCCTAGGGTCCCGCTTCCATTCCCAGTGCAGCCACAAAATCTCATGATGGGAGGACCTTCGCAGTGCGGATTTCGCATGTGAGCAAACCAGCTGAGCACCGCGCATTGATGTTCTCTGGAGCACCATGGCCAGGTTGAAAGGAAACAGCTTTCTTCTTGCCCCGAAGTACAACCTCCTCCCAGTCTCTGAGCCAATCCGACAGACGCTGGATGACAGCATTGTTCCCCAACAGCTGGTTAAGCTGGAAGGGGGCAAAAATGTCCACCCAGTTGAAGGGATTCTGAGTCGGCTTCGCCTGCTTTTGCGGGTTCTGGGCTTCCCCTTTCGTTTCTGGATGCTTAGCCTCCTTTGGCAATAGCTTCAGGAAATCCTCCTCTTCTACCACTTCTGCGACAACGGTGCCTTTCCTCTGCAGGTCCAAAAACCTCTGATACTTTGCAGATTCTCTGGCAGGACGACCATCTGGCAGCTTTCCACCAAGAACCAGAAAGGACGTGCGCTGCGAAAGCGCACTTCCAATCTTCCCCCCAGCCAATTCCACCCTGCGCTCCACTTCCGCCTGTGGTATTGAGAACACGTCGCTGGCAAAGCATATGATCTTGCCCTGCAAGGGATTCGCGCTCTCGGTGGACACCGCCAAGTTCCGGAGCGGCGTTGCAGCAGAAGCCGCCGACACCGGCTCCGGCAGTGCCGGCTTGGGCGCCTGCGCAGGCGCCTCCTTCTGCTTCGCGGCCGGTGCCGGCGCAGTCACCTGATCCGGCTGCTTGGCTTCAGACTTTGGAGCTGCCACGGTCCCCTTCTCTGAGGGGATCTTGAACCTCGCACGGTTCACCCGCTTGGGAGCGGATGGCTCTGCCATGCCTGATTGCTTTGCGCTTGTGTTTGGTCATATAAACATATGTGTTATGTACAAGTAGAACGAAGGCAACATCGATAGGAGTGCCAGACAGAATCTACATACTCACAGATGGATACAGATAGAGCGATTCAGTAGCTTGCGCATCTTGATGCTGAACTATTAGCCTTCTTGTTGTTAGCCTTCTTGTTGCCATGTGGCTGTACTAAGCTGTGCTTGAAGCCTGAGAAAATGGCTAGTGCATGATACGGATCTGCAGACACGACATCATGCTGTCGCATTGCAACAAAATGGAGAGAGTATGGGCTGGCCGTCGGCATCGGGAAAAACAAAAAACACGTCCAAGAACTTTCTGCAATCTGCGAAAGATCTCTGATCATTACCCAAAGGTCATCCTCTCGGAAGCCCTGTCCTGCAAGTCGACCGGGCCCTGCCAGCTAGCCAGCTGCTTCGTGCTTGACGCATTGGTTGCTTTTCGGGGGCCTTGTAAATGCAGTAAGCCAGGTGATTCGGTGTTCACTCAATCGATAGCAAATTTCTGGATGGATAGCGGCATCAAGAGATAACAGAAGCCTCAACACGAACAACCGGCCTTGGTTCTCGAACAGAAAACCAGCTGCAGCATTCGGTCTTGCACCAGGTTCCTTATGAGCCGGGCGCATCAGGAGTGTGGGCCGATGGACACCAGGCTTCCCGCCCAACGGCCAACACATCATCTCCGAGGCGCCGATGGCAAAGCAAACAGCCAAACCTTGGCCCAGCTGATGGGTGACTGCGGACCGGGGGCCAGCGCCTGTGCCGAAACTCGTCACGCCTGTTTGACTATCAAAGAACACCCTGCAAGGGGCTCTGAATTCCACAAGTTATTTTCGTGCCCGAAGATACAGCATTGAGCTACACTGTTACACATTGGTCCATCAGTATACCGGAATGTCAGCAACTTCGATTATCTTCGCGCCTGCGCCACCTTGAGCTGTCGAACTGCTCTGCCTCGGTTGGATTTTTGCGTTCGGTTGAGGTAGACGCGCCGTTGCAGCGCTCCTTTTCTATTGCGAGGAAGTTGCGCTGGCTGTGAAACCGAGGAGCTTCTGCTTCAGCAGAAGCTCGGAAAAAGGGCCACTCAGGGCCAGTCGGCAAGCCTTTGTCGTCCAAACCTTTCGTGTCACAGGGATCTCAGAGTCGCCATCAGCAGGTCAGAACTTCCAGCAATCCTGAAGCGCGGAAGCCTCTTCATGGAAGCGTCAAGGGAACTGCTTTGGGGGGTGGGAGGTGGATGAGCGAAACGGAGCCGGAATCGGAGGCTTAGTGGGGCAGGGCGAAAGAGATTGCGAGGGCCACTCTCTGCGCGGGCTCTGTGAGCAGCCTCTCTGCGACATTGCCGGGTCTCACTGTGCAATCTTTCTGGGCTATGCCCCCCGTACAAATTCTTTGTGCCATCTTTCGCTACAATCTCGCTTATGTTGCGCAATCTCTATGAACAGCCTCTCTGCACAAGGGCTGCGTGTGCAAACTCACAAGTTGTTGTTCCTGTGCTTTTATATACATCGACACGCACGCTCCACGCAGAGGGCACGGCACATGGACACGCACGATCCACGAAAAGTGCCTCGCACGCAACCTTAACAGTTGCTTTTCCTGTGGGTTTTTGCGCATCAATACGCGCGATCCACGAACGGGGGGGGTCCCACCACGCTGCCTTTAACGACTAAGTTTAACCTTTTGTGCAATTGCTTGTCGTGCGAAAGTCTTCATGCAATGTCTCTTGCTCAAGTTGTCTCATGTAGGTGTGCTCTTTGGTGCAATTGTGATCAGGCAAGTTCTCTCGTGCAAGTGTGCTCATGCAAGTTCTCTCGCACGATTTCTATCGCGCAAAATGTGCAAGTGTGATCATAAGTGCTGGTGCATTGTTGCTTGCGCAGTTCTCTCGTCACGTGTCCTCGCGCGAGTTCGCATGTGCAATTCCTCTGGATAAGTCCTCTTGTTGTTTGGGTCTGTGATTTTGGCATTGTCTCTGGCAATGCATCGCCGGCAATTCCTCTTGCGCGAGTCCTCTTTGCAGCTTCTCTTGTGCAATTTATCTTACGCAATTTCTCGTGAGTGGCACACATTGATTTATCCTTTGCAATTCCTCTGTGCAATAACTCGGCTGCAACGTCTCTTGTGCACATCATCTGTGCAAGCTCTATCCTGACTTTACCGGAACAACCGTTCGCAGTGCCTTCGGGGTATTGAACACTCATCCTAACTCATGACTTACAGCTCTAAATGCTTCTGTGGCTCTTTCGCCCCACGGCAGCAAAGGCTTTCGCTATCCTTAGCTTCGATCCACGTGTGAGCCAAGCCTTGCACGTCCGCACGAAGTTAAGATATGGCGTCGTTCTTTGAAGGCACCACGTGTGACTATCCATTTTCTCGGTTCTCATGTTTGGCGACAAACCCACATGCTCAGATTGTATACCTACACATGACCTGACTCACGGTGGTATAGCCAACATATCCAACATGCTTTCTGGTGTCGGCGACAACTCCACCTTGCTTTCCTCACGGCACGCAGCTGGCGAACTTGCCGTGGGCGGCCCTTCTTTCGCTCGAGGAAGCAGGCGTTCATTGGATTCATTGGAATCCGCCTTCACCACCGGCACCATTGCTACCACCACAACAACCAGAACAAGCGTCCCCACCCCAGCTTCGAGGGGGGGGGAGGGGTTGGCATTGGCGGCATGAATCAGGACAAGGGCATTGAGGGACAAGAACAAAGACAAACAACCAGAACTGCGTGAAATTCAAGAACTATGAGAACACTCGAACACCAACGCGACAAGAACAAACAACAACGTCAACGAGAACAATGAGCACAATAATATCGACGAGAAGAGCAACATCAACGAGAACTATACGCACCAGAGAATCGACGCGAACAACAAACATAGCGAGTACAACTGGCGCGAAAGATAGTGACTCGTGACGAACAAGACTGTGGCGACCGCTAGCGTTACCCCACCACCAGCGCCACTATCACAGCAAACATGGCCTGCATTACGCTTTGCAACCCAACTCAATGTCAAACAACACGTCTCTAGAATGTTGGTGCTAAGAAACCAAAAGGTTTGTTCTCCAATGACGAGGTCGACTTAGAAGAGATGTTCCTCCGGGAGGAATGGGACGACCTAGAAGCACCTCAATTCAATCACGTGCTATCTCCCTCCCGGCAAAAAGACCTTCGCCTCAAACCCATAGTTCTGGGCAGAACCTACACAGCTGTAAAGGTTTACCAGGTCCTTAACCCCGTGAAACCAGGTGGTTCTGCCTAAAAATTGGGATGTTGGCGCTCACCAGACCTCCCAACCGCCGTGCCTCAGTGGGCCGCGACAGGCCCGTGCAGGTGACGCGAGCAGCTGGAGGAATACTCGGCGGGCTCCCAGTGGCAGGGAGTGCCATCCAAGCTTGCGCCGCATCGTCGCTGATTTTTGCGGCGTCACTGTCACTGACGTTTGAGTCATAAGGAGCACTCTCCAGCAGTCGGAGAACACGTACATAGGACACCACCGTATCTTCGCAGAGGTTCTCAATCATCGCTTCACAAATCGGAGGAATGAGGTCCAGCACCTCGTAGCGGTGTGCCAGCGCCAGCACGCCGGGGAGCTGCTGCCCCGTGGCGTCCAGCTCGCCCAGGTAGACGAACCGCAGCATGGCCAAGAGCTCCGCCGGCTCCGCATCCACCGCCATGGAGGAGGAGAGGCCCTCGGCCATGCCGCTCGCCAGCATGGCCTTGAACACGGGGGACGCGGCGGACAGGATGCAGCCGTGGGCGCGGATGCTGCAGCCCGAGCAGTTGAAGACAAAGTCTCCGTCCTCGCGAGAACGCCACAAGTTGGCCACGAGACCCTTGATGTGCTCGCTGCGGGTGTCTTTGGGAGCCTCCTTAGGAGGCTCCTTCGGCTGGTCAGAGATTGGGATTGGCATTCGCCCGAGCTCCTAGAACATGGACACGTGCTCAAAGCGTCACTACCCGTCTTTGACCACACAAATTGATTCAATTGATACTCCCTGTCAACTCACACGTTGAGTGGTATTGTCGACACTCTTAAGCTCGAGCGAAGAAGCAGCAGACAGGCAAAGTAAGCTTGCAGGCTGCTCTAGCTGCAGTGCATCCCAACTTTGGCAATCAGAGTCGAGAGCACTTGAAAAGTGCGAATCGCAAGGATCACGGTGGCATCTGAGTTGGGCACGCGGCTGCACGCCATGCTGGTCAAGTGACTAAACCCAAAGCTTCGGGCAAACGCCAAACTGCTGGATGTGTCTGCTCTGAAGTCGCTGGTGTACTTGAACTCATGATGGCAAGCTCGTCAGGCTTTCCGGCTTGAACATGCTTGACAATCAAGCATCCAGAAATCAACATGCAGCTTGGAAGGCAAAAGCACTACAAAAACCGACTGGAACATGTGATGCTGTTCGTGCTGCGACACGTTGCCTTCTTTTCGCGTCTTCCTGTAACCACAACTCAGCCCACTCTGGAAGGCGCCAATTTGGTCTGGCTGTCCTCAAAAAAACACATGCCCCCTGACAGGCGCTACACAGGTGCAAAGGGTGCAGAGTTTCAGTTTAGAGCCGCTCTGCAAGCTGCAGCAAAAAAAGCAACTCGTGCGGCGATTTTTGTTCGGGTACCCAAAATACGCGTCAGAATAGTATCGGGGACGGCAACCGCATGGCCGCTCGAGTCACTCCTCGCGAAATGCGACGTGGGTATTGGTGATGCCGATGGTGTGGTGGCCTGTGCCGTGTTTCGCAGCTCGTGACCCGCCACTGAGACCTCTGGCCTGGCCCGTGACGTTGGCAATGATGGGTGGCAGCCCCCAGAACCCAGGATCGAAGCCCCAATCAGGGATGGACACACGGTCCAGGATTGTTCCTCAAGCGAAGCAAGGCTGCGTCTGAAAATTAGACCCTGCAAATCGCGGGTTTCATGTTGGAACCAGAAAGTGATTCCCGTTTTTTACTTTTAAAGGACAACAGCTTGTGGCACTGCGCGCCTCGGGGTCCGCCTTCCGCATCAGTGCGGACCCTGGGAATCCGTAGAAACAGCGGCAGCCGGGTATCCGCCTGCCGCTTCGCATCGAATGCGAGATGCGTGGGGGTTATGTACCAAAGCAAAGCGCCTCGCGGGAAGGGAGCACCGGGTCCTCTCCTCCAAGTAAAAAACAAATATGTCTTTGGGGCCAAGGGTCTCCAAAACGTCACAAGACATAGGCTGCTTTTCCAGTGGTGTATGCACAAAATCACCTTTCGCGTCCCGAAAAGTCTTTCAGTTCCACGCCGAGAGGCCAAAGATCCAGTGCCAGGCTCGCTCCAAGACTTCGCCCTTGGCTGGTCTGTCTTTGTCCCCCACAATGGTTGGCTTGGCGTCCCTGTTAAACAAAAAAAAAATCCGTGCCCTCAAAGGAAAAAAAACACCCAGCTGGGCTATGGGTTTCACACGGTTTTTGAAGTCCCTTTGAAGGCTTCATAAAATCATCCCAATGAGCCCAATTAGCTCAGGGCCATAAATTCGTTGCCGCCTGATACTGGGGGCCTGTGCCCAAAGGCCATAGTCAGCAACTGGCGTATGCCCATTCCTGGCACGCAGGTCACTGCATCCAATTGAGCGCTGTACAGGACTTGCCTCTTCAAGCATATCGGCAGTATGGGAATTTCAGGAATTTCACGTGTTTTTTTGCCATCGTTTTTTCTTCGTGTTTATATATATATATATATTTTTGGGGGGGAGGGGGGAAGCCGCCTTTTTCCATGTGTCAGTCCTCTGGGTGCGCTGCTCGTAGACTCGCTGGGCTGGAAGCCTCATTCCCCCCCATCACGGGGACTGGTGGGTGGGGTGGGGGATCACCAGGCCCCTGCCTGCAAGCCGTATGCAGACCCTCCACAGCGGTACCATTCACCTCGGCAGCTTTCAGGGGTCCCTATCTTCTGTCTTGTTTTGGTTGTAAGCATCATCTGTTTGGCCCCCAAAACCGAATGGTGAGCCTCCCTTCACTAGGGGTGATGTGGGTGTGGCTCAAAAAAATCACCGCTAAACCCAAAAGCGGTTTTACTCTACCTGGCAACTTACCTTTGGGTTCCATGTTGGACCGTCATGATTTTTGAGCCCCATGTGCCAAGCATTCCGAGCCACTGGCGCTCAAGCGCTGGTGCAGGGACCTCCATACTGCGCCTGAGCTCGACTTGAAAACTCGCCGGGATGGTCCCAAGTTCCTACAAGAAAGGCATAAACAGGATGAGGCAGCCTCCGAAATCCCCCCCCCCAAAAAAACAGCTGCTTTGCATCGAAATCAGCTGGAGAAGGCGATGTAAAGCAACTGGCCTCTGGTATCCGGGGGGGATGAAATGGGCGGTGCCGAGCTGCGCCAAAAGGCATCTGGAACCCCATCCAAGCGATGCCGCGCAACCACGAATTGGGTGCAGCAGTACGTGGACATGTCGAACCTCAGACCGAAACTCCGGCTCCAAGCTCCGAAATCGGAAACTCTTGGCATCCCTACCCCTCTAAGTACCTCTCTCCGCTGGGTGGACCAAAGCTGCCCAACCAGTTGAAACCAGCGTCCAAACAAACACTTTGGGTCCCTGGCGGAAGCTCCAGGATGCCCTGCGATCTCTCCGCCTACTCCAGGCCAGGCACGAAATCGAGACACCGCTCTCCGCTGTTTTCTGCTTCACCGGCGATGCGGATTTCTTTGACGGCATGAGTGCTTTGGTACCAAGAGCACCTTGGAAATCAAGCACTTCCCGTGCCCTTCGAGGTCGCATTTGACCTCCTTAAGAATGATTTGCACATATCTACATCCACGGAGCGGAAGAAAAGCGTGCAAGTCTTGTTGCCTATGGCAAAGACCTGCCACGCACCTCTCACTTTCAGAGGAATTGGGCGAAGAAAGGATCACCAACCAAGCACTGATCGCGCAAGCGGCTACCTTGCCAAAGATAAGGTTTGCGATTAATTCAAGACTACAAGCATCATGTCTTTGCGCGGACAGCTCGCAAAGCATGCTGCTTCCTGCAAAAGTTGTGCAAAAACTACGTGAAATATCGCTCATCCACATCACAGGCCAAACTGCGGATCTGCACTTTTTCAGAGATCTCCTTGGCTCGAGCACAATCTCGAGAAAAACTGGTGGGGAACAGCCCAAAAAGCCTAAGCGACCGCGAAACGGGCCGAGTCTCGTCGTCAAAGGACCGGGACCTGCCCCGTGAAACCTCCAAGCCCTCGTCGCAGTCGAGTATGGCATCGGCCAGGCGCCGGCGCACGTTGGTCGTTGAGGCGAAGGACTCCGTAAAGCCTCGGGGCCGGCCTTGCGGGCTGCAGTCCTGCGCTTGGGTCTCTCAAAATTACTCTGGGCCCCTTGGCGTGTTTAGAGGCCCAGTTGGCTCACCCAAACATGTGTCTGCTTCCAGCCAGAAAAACCTCGAACCGGGTCTCCCCAGCTCCGCTCAGAGCCCCCCCTGTCAACCCCGCCCTCCCCTCCCCTCCAGATCAAACCCCCCCCGGACGCCCTTTCGCCGCCTCGTAGATGCGCAGCGTGGGCCGGGCCGCGAGCTCTTCCTGCGAGGGCAGCGTCCGCAGATTCTTGCCCATCATGGCAGCCAGGAAGGAGGGATAGTCCACCACACCATTCCCCTTGAAGTCCACCTGGCTCCAAATTTTCCGGCGAGCCGCGGGTGTTGAGGTTTGTTGTCATTTTCTTTGGGGTGCCATGTGGGGATTCGATGCCCTTTTTTTGAGCAGCCACCGGGTTCTCTCCAAAAGGTTCGCAGGCAGGATATATATATATATATCCATTTCCTTGGGTTTCAAAGCCTTTGAAGTCCTACGACATTGCAACATGGATGCGTCTTCGGTTCTTGAAAAAGACACCCACGATTTTGTCTCAAGGGAATTTGTCTTTTGCGAGCGAGTCAACAGTTCCAGTTGGCACGGTGGGAAAAAATGCAAAGGTGAGTTCAATTCAAAATAGCTACAACCATGGTGGAGGTCCTCAGATCTGGCTTCATTTTGAAACAACCCGCAATCAGAACTCAGACCTAGATGGGTGTCTGGTTGTTTAAAGGAAGCTACCTGTGGTGGGGGGTCCACCTTTTTGATAGGGATTGCTAGAAGCTTTGATGTGTAGACTCAGATGATTGGACTCTTTAGTGGACAATCCCGGAGTAGTTGTCAGAACACAGGGGCACTCCCAGCTTACGTTCGTAGCCATGAGGGAATCCGATGGGTTTCAACGCCTCAGAGAGATCTTAATGCCCTCTGAGGATTGGCAAATTGCCCTGTTCTTCTCCCTCGAACTTGAGCAATTGGGTCCAACTTGGGAAGTTTCTCCAAATCAACCCTTGGGTTGATCTTAGGGGAACCAAAAAGACATCAACCATTTTAGGAGAACCCCCTTTGGGTTGGCATTTGAAGGAAAGGAACTTCGGGGACCCCAATTTCAAGAAAGACCCGTTCTCGATGCCCTGATCTTGAGAGCTACTTTCAAGGGCTCCAAAAAGGAGGCTTGACTTCACCGTCTTCCCAAGTTGTCCTTTTTTTTGTCAAATCGACTGATCAATCCTTTTGCAGACTTGTTTGCATGAAGTAGTCTTGCGGAACCTCAGCATTCAGGTGTCCCTCATGGATTTGAGAAATGCGTGAGACGTTTAGATGGACAACTGCCATACAACTCCGTCATCGGTTTCCGGCCTCCCGGATCCATTGCTCCGCCTCTTCCTGGGCCAAAGGGGTGCCCTTCCGCATCTGGGTGTTGAAGACCTGCACCGAAGCTGGGACCCCAACCCTTTCTGGGGAGATCAAGGTTTGTTTGATTTTTGTTTGACTGAGTTTGTTTGATTGTTTTTTGTTTTTTGGTTTTTTGCTTTTTCCTGGGGTTGTGAGTGTTTTTTGACCAGGGATGGTTGCTCCCTCTGCTTCCCCAAGCGGCTTCTTCTGGAGCTGGGGCCATTCCTTAGGGTTTGGCTTCGGGGAAGCCAAAGGGTGTCCAGTTGTGTGGCGGCATTTTTGGGTTTAGGGAAATCACTAGTTTTTGATTTCAGCCCCCCCCCCCCCCCCAATATATATATATATATATATAATATTGGAAAACCGGGTCTCCGGCCAAAAAGAAACGGCGCGCGTGGGTACGCCCATACATGTGTCCGATCTCCAGACCGAGACCGGTTTGCCACGAAGAACTACTCTTTGGACAGGTCTCTTTTGGGGGCAGAGGCATGGATTCCTGCTGATTCCTTTATCTTTTCTGTTGTGGTTTTTGTGGCGGGCTGGGGGGGGGGAGATATCAATTTTTCCGAAAGGAAGTCGCCTGCACCAACGTCCCCGCGGTGATGTAGCCCTTCCCCTCCACATCGAAGGCCTCGAAGGCACTCCGCACCTGCCCCAAGCTGCCAGGCTGGGGTGTTGTCGGACCTGCCTTGTGCCGTGCTACGTGCTCTAGTTGTTTCTAATGCAGTCGAATGAGTAGGAAAAGGGCTCTTCAAATAGTTCAAGCTATCCCGCATGGCTCACTTTCTTGCTACTCTAACTGTTTGGAGAGCTCCCAAAGCGGAGGATGTCGCTGGGGAGTCCGGAAGCATCTTTCAAATTGTTCAATCTGTCAAACTATAATAATAAACCAAATTCCTTTAACAACCAAAGCAAATCACACTTTTTAGCTCATTGTTGCTACTTGTTAACTGGAATGGCTACAACAAACATAAACAGCTTGTTTGATCATAAACAAACCATATGTGCGTCCCAATCATTTCAATTATTCTAGCTAATCCCAACCGGACAGGCGCCTTCTGGGGAATTCCAGATTCATGTTCCTAGTTATTCGAATTAAGCATAACTGGAAAACCTACAAGCAACCATTTGTTGTCCCAAAGAGTTGTATCTAGCAGTTTGAATTGTCCCAAGCAGTCGATGTGTCTCACTTTCTTGGATGGTTTGCCGATTGTACTACTATTTATGCAAGGGGTGGGTGCCTCTTGCGAAGATTCCATGTTCATCTCTATCATTACTCTAACTATTCTCACTATTCAAAATAAGTTGTCTTGTCCCGAAAGGGACGGACGCCTTTTGGGGTTCATTGTTTCTAACTATTCAATTTGTGCTAATGGCTCTATTCAAACAACAAATAGAATAATTACACACACATGGTCACATGTTTCTTTGATATGCCTTCGGGAAGGATTAAGCAGCCTTCCTGGAGCCTTGTGGAATTCCAGAACTATTAGAAATAGAAATAAATCAAACTGGTCACATTAGTTCAATTATTCCGAATAATGCATTTTAGCTGATTTATTTTTGAAGGGCACGAACAATTATACTAATCAAGCCATTTAAATGCGTTTAATTAACTTGATTAATGTTGTTTTAAATTTGATTATTTCACTTATTCGATTTTTGGAGGCCAGAAACATCAAATGTCATTAAAGTAGTTAAATCATGTTCACTAATCTAGTTTGCGGGCCATAAAAAGGTTGGTAGTTAAACTGATTGAATGCCAGAAAAAATAGAAAATAATAATAATAATAATAGTAATAAACATGTGTGTATTGAATATGTTAAATTAATCCATAATTTTACGGTTGGTGGTCAGGGCAAAAACTGATGAGATTACTTCATAGCTTAAGTTTAAATTAGGTTAACTAAGTCATTAGTCTGTGTGCGTTGTTGTCTTGAAAAACAAGCATGAACCACCCGGACTCGATAAACAAAACAACTGGCATTTGTTGGAGGCCTAAGCAAACACGAAGTAAACAAATCTAATAAATTCGAATACATATATGTTTGGAGGCCAGGGAAACATATCAAGTTGTTTAAATTGATCTAAGTTTAGATGAAATTGATTCATCTAATTAATCTAACTATTGTATGTTCAATTAGTCTGAAATCCCAACTCCAGGCCTGCCGGGACATAATTTAACTGAACGGATTAGTCGTGTGCTTTGAGGCCAAAAAGAATAATCAAATCAGTTATTTGAATCAATTGAACTAATTTAACGCATGATATGTTTTGAGGCCAGGACAACTCAAATCAACTAAATTATTCAAATCAATTTAATCAATCTAATTAATGTTACTTTTTGGAGGGCAGGAAAAAGAGATTAAGCAAAATAGTCAAATTAATTACTTTTATTATGTAGTTAAACTAATGAACAAATTTAAGTCCACATAGTTGTGCTATTTATTTATTTTTTGGAGGCCAGGACAGATTAAATTAACCAAACAATTATTGTTCGAGGCCAGCAAATATTGCATTAGTTAGATTAATTGCTTAAATTGCTTTAATTCAGAAAGGGCGTTGTTAATTAGGGTATTCAAATTAACTAACTTCTGTTGACCTCTTCTGGCCGAATCTGCTGCAGGAAAAGCAGGGCAACCCCCCCAAAAACAAACCTGATGTTGGAGCCGAGTGAGAACCCCCAAGTCAGAACTGCACCAGGCGGGGAGGGGTGATCGATCCTCGCCTTGTCCTCGTGCAGCTTTACCCGCGTCTCCAGCAGCGCGGCCACGAAAGGCGTGTATTGGATCTCCTGGCTTGATCCGCGACATGTGATCGGTGTTCCCTGGCCGCCCTTCTGCGCACAAACGCAAATAAAGAGGCTGGAGGGGATGGAGGGGATGGAGGGGAT